TGCAAATGAAACTCTTATCCTGGAGCGTGACTTAGAAGGTTTGCTTAATGAGGAGCTCGTCATACCTAGTACAGATAGTCAGAGAGTTCATTTTTCTTAGCAACATGATATGTATCTGATATATTCAGCCTACAATGTATTCATAGCATGAGATGTTCTGAATGTATTTCATGTATTTCGATCTGAATGTATTTCGACATGGACTATATATTGTACCTTTTAAGGCGTTAGCTTATGTTCGATCTATGACATGGATTGAAGCAGATTAATGAATTTTTTTCTCAGGAGTGTGCCTTATTGTCAGTTGCCTTTTTGTGCGATGGATGAAAGCCACGAACCACACGTTGGTTCAGAATTTCAATGAACAAAGAACGAAACAACAAACCTTTAACAATAAATAAAATTTAAATAAAAATAATCACCGGTAAATAAACAACAAAACAAATTTCTTTTGAAAATCAACTAACTAAAATTAAAAATTAAAGACATATTTTGAAAAAACTAAATGTGATAAAAATAACAAGAAAAGAAAATGAATATGTTGAGTGGTCATTTTCAGAGTTTCTTACTCTTTGTGCGTGCAGCACAACCATCTTTAACTGCATTAACTCTCTTCACATCCCTGCGGAATTTCACATTCTGCACAAAACCCCACAAAACTCTAGAAATATTCTTCAACAAAATCAACCTTTTCACATGACACGTTTATGCAAATTCAACATCACAAACTCTCTACACTATTTTCATATGACTCTTGGAGTAAGTGCCCAAATTTTGACTCCCCATCTTCAAGATTGGTATAAGACCCCCTTTAATGGAACATGGCATCCTATCCTTAATCTTCGAGGTCGGTCCCTGATTTCCGACTCTCTTTTCAAAGATGATAACTAAAATTCAATTCTAATTTCCGGACCAGTACCTAAATTCCGATTCCTTCACATATTTTCATATTCTATTCACTTATTCCCCACAAATTCACAAGTGTGAATCCACATATATTCTCTTGTCACCGCTTGGGTTGGATGCGAGTCCTAGCGCTTTCCTTCCTAACGTGACACACATATTTTCTTGTTATCTATTGAGTTGAATGTGAGTCCTAGTGTTTTCCTTCTCAATGTAATACATATATTCTCTTGTCACCGCTTGGGTTGGATG